TTATTAATATATAAAGTTTAAAAAAAATTCAATAAAAATAATTTGCTTGATTTCTATTGACTCACCCCCATATATTCCATTAGTAGAACCCAACTCTGCTGATTGTTGATAATATTCGAATGCCTTATATTCATCCTTTTCAACTCCAATTCCTTTCTCATAACAATATCCAACACTATATGTTCCATTCGCATGCCTCATCGTTGCTGATTTTGATAATATTCGAATGCCATATATTCATTATTTACAACTCCAATTCCCTTTTTATAATTTTTTGCAGCATAATAAAAATATTCACCTGATTTAAATATATTAGTAGAACCCGACTTTGCTGATTTTTTATAATATTCGAATGCCTTATGCTCATCCTTTTCAACTCCAATCCCATTCTCATAAAAATATCCAGTATTATATGCCCCATTAGTAGAACCCATCTCTGCTGATTTTTGATAGTAAACGAATGCCATTTTATTGTTCTTTTCGACACCGAAGCCATATTCGTATTTAAATCCGAGTCTGTATAATTCTGCGCCTGTATAATTCATGGTTATAACATAAAAAAAGATTTACAGTACAATATTCAATTTTACGCAGCTTCATTTAATAACGTGATTAATAATATGCATGTCTTTCCATAAAAGTAGCTTTAATTTCTTTGTTAAAATTTCACAAGCGATCATTAATGTTCATTATACATATTTCTGTAAGCTACGTACGTACGTACGTACGGTTGGGGTGTTCGATGTACTATATGAAAATCAATTATCATGATTTCCACACATATAATAGATTTGATTTACATCGAACACCCCAACGTACGTACTGTGTCATAAAAACTGGTACAACCTGCAAACAAAGTTGTGCAACATCAAACTGTGTTCCTGTACAAGATAATTGTACACACATACGTACGTGCCGTACGTACGTACGTACATACCTACCTGATACGTACGTACGTACGTAATCGTACATATTACGTAATCATAATTTAATTTGATAAAGCATAACGATAACGCTGCATTCTTAGTTTTTGTAATTGTCTTCAGAGGTGATTAAACAATGGCTGAAGAAGAAATAGGTACTTGCTTAAATACACGATCAAAATTTTGGTAATAAGCTCGAGATCAACTTTCAATAATAAGCTTAACGCAAAACTTTACTTTTCAGAATTACTTGAAAAAGTCGAATTTCGACTTGCGCTTGCTGAAACTGACGCTCAACTAGAAAAAATCCTTGATGCTTTTTTGAGTCCAATACTTCTGAAGTTGGCAAGCTCTCATGAAGTTGTACGGACCAAGGTTAGGTAAAGAGTTGGATTCAAATATATCTAGATTATAATTCTAAGCTAGATTGACCACACATTTTAGGTCATGAGTGTATTAACTCATATAAATAAACGAACTCGGTCAAAAAATGATATCAAACTTCCGTTGAATCCACTTCTTGATCTCGTTTGTACCGACAAAGTCACTCAATCAGCATTTGTTAAAAATTTTGCCATAATATATCTTGAAATGGCTTATTTCCGTTTAATAGAAGAGGTATAAAGTATTGATCAATGCATTATCTTTTTATCCGATGAATAAATCTTAAAATTGCTTATTTTGAACATTTATAGGACAAAATTAGTAATCTGCCGAATTTGATTAATAATATTGCCTCAAAACCTCCAGCACTAAAGCAACCTTTATTTCACATCATACTTACGGTAAGACACATTGATTAATTTTTTAATTTGTTTATAGTTCTCACATGAATTTTGCGACTACAGGTCTTGCAAAAATTCAAGCCAAAACCTGCAGATTCTCCTTCATCATTAGATCCTTTTAATTTCGCAGAAAATCTAAATGATGCCAAGTTTTTGCTAGCATCATTTTTGAATGTTATTCTATATAATGTACCACAACAGCCAAAGTCACAACTTCAACAATCGACTGGTGGTGATTCTAGCTCTGGGTAGTTATTATTATTATTTGTTACTAGCATAGCATACTATAGTGCTCATTAATGTTTACTTGAAGGCAACAAGAAGTATCTCAAAATTTGGCACAACTTCCACCACCGGGTATGAGCATAAAAGCCGTGAAATTTGTCACTAATGATGGAAAAATACAATGGTCTGAGAGGATGTCAGATCTCAAGCTTATCAAGGTTTTAATTTGGTTTTTTTAAACGCATCCCTATCAAAAATAAAGAAATTTTGACAATTTTCTTCTAAAATAGTTGGGGATTCTTAGATTCATCAATTCAACAGTAGTACTACCGGATTCATTGTCTGAAGAAATTCATTTGGCTAAATTTTTGATTCTTTTGGTAGCTAGTTGTGATTCTGTTAATGAAATTGTTGATGGAGGTGAAGATGGGATTAAGAAAATGAAAAGACCTGATATGGAAAATATAGGAGTATGCAAGCATTATTATAAATTATTTAATATGTTATAGTTTTTACATTCTATAAAATATAATTACTTTTAGGTAGTTAAAAAGTTATATTTTCTATATCAAGGCACTGTTAATCAGGGATCTGCAGCATCAAGTATTTATTGTTTATATTTTTTATTTTTTTTAAGTTCATATATAAATAATTTCTGCTTTACATACTATATATTATATATTTGTTTTTTAAAGCTCAACAAGAAACATCACAACAACCAGCATCATCTGCCCTTAAACTTAAAATAATAGGTTATCTTTGTAGATCTAAGTTAGCAACAAATACATTTCCATCTATGTTGCAAGTTGCATTTGATTGTTTGTATGGTATGTATACTGTTTACAGACTTAACTTATTATTAT